TCTTCTTCTTCTTCTTCTTTTCTCCCTCCTCTTCCTCCTCCTCCTTCTCCTTCTCCTCCTCTTCTTTTTTAATGTATTTAGTACAGGGTCTACAGGGACTTACTACACAGCTCAGACTCATAATGTTTGTTTTCAGCCTCCCAAGCCCTGGGATTACAGGCAAGCACCACCACGCCCAGTCTCAGTCTCAGTACTCAGTATGGGCAAGCCCCGGGGCAGGGCATGCTGAGGATTGAAAGCATCTTTTCTTAAAAGGAGTTAACTCATCCACTGTCAGCAGTCGGTGAGGAGCAGCGGTCAGGGACTTCCTATTTTTTCCCTTCTGGTGCTGGCTTGGACCCCCAGAACTGTACTTTTTTGGGTCCCCTCTTCTCACCTTTCCTTGCCTCTACCTGGCTTCTGCACAGGTCTATCCCGAGGCCGGACGCCAGGAGGAGGGGAGACCAGGATCCTGTCCCTCTGCCCAGTGGGCATCGCTGCCCAGCACTGACTCTCCTCTCCAGTGCCACCACCCACTGCCACCACTGGGCAGCCTGGTCAGGGGGTCTCTAGCGACACCAATCCCTCTCACTGCCTGAGTCTTGGGTAGGTCACCTGCATCCTCTTTGGAGTCTCTGTTGTTCTGCTGTCTCTGTAACCAGTGCCTTGCTAAATGCCGGGGAGGACAGAAATGGTCCTGAGTTCATTAAAGCGCAAGCTAAAGGGCAGATCCAGGTAGTAGGAAACAGAGAGACCTTTGGAGATGGGAGGAGCCAGAGGTGGGGGAGGAGCAAGGGGACAGAAGAAAATCCAGACCCTTTATGCACATGAACGACACCCTGCCAGGCATGCGCTCCTTAGTACTGAGAACCTTCACCGATAAACATAAAGATTAAAAGAAGATGCAGCTGTTCATGCTCCAGAAGGTGGGTGACTTCCTCCGTTTCCGCTTCCAGGGCGCCGCCGAGCCCTGGACTCCACAGGACGCTGTGCGACCTCCGCTGGGGCGGCCCCAGGCTACCTGTACAGCGCATTCCCAGCCCTGGCCCCAGGTGTCCCTGCCTGCACACCCCTCTCTCATGCCCGCAGGGCCGCATTTGTCTGGCCCCTCAGTCTTCCTGTTCACCTGGCTCTGGGCTCCTGCAGACCAAGTCGCAAGCGCTGGAAGGCGGAACAATCCCTCCAGCCCAGCCCTCGCCATTAAAAGGGATGCTTTGCCAAGCCTGCCTTGAATCAAACCCTGATGGAAGGAGCAAGAAGAGGAGTCACGCTGTGCTTTCTGCCGGCTGGCACACCTGCACCCAGTCTTCTACTGCCTGTTGTGGGTTTAACAGTGTCCCCTGAGACACACTGGCATTGTATCCTGAAGCCCCTTGCAGGTGACCTTATTTCCACATAAGGTCACTGCTGATGGCATAAGTGAAAATGAGGTGATTAGGGCGGCGACCAGCAGATGCAGGAGAGAAGCTGCCACAGACCAGGGCCCTGGAGCTTCCCGAAGCTGGGAGAGGCCGGTGCGCCCTAGACCACCCCGAGCGGTACATGGCTGCTGTTCTAAAGCTCCCTGTGTGTGATGCAGTCGCTTCTCCACAGCACAGCGCCCCATCTGTGGCTCCACCAACTGCAGCCCAGAATCAGTGGGGGAAAGTGTGTTCTTGTCTCTGGCCCCTAAGCAACGTGGACAATCCACACAGCATGGACACTGTGTGCAGTACTCTGAGAATGCTGCTGCTGGTGCGAAGGGTTTGGGAAGGTGTCGGTAGGTACCACCTTGGCCAAGGGCATTGGGCACCAAGGATTATGGGATCCTCAGGGGCCTCGGCCAGCCCCAATGGCTGTGCAGGGACACAGAATGAACACGTGCCATCACAGAAGCCCCCAAGCGTGACCACAGAATGCAAGGGTTCCCCCCCTCATGTGGCCAGCACTAGTGATATGATCCTTATGCCCTTGCTGGGCATGGGAATGCGCTAGTGCCTGCAAGGCCACCTGGGTCAAGGTGGGATCACCAAGCTTGGGAGCCCTTGTATCGATAGGGAGAGCATACAGGGGTGTGGCAAAGCCAACTTCCTCCATCAGCGTGGCCTGGTGCTTCCCAGCCAATCCTGTCATGCTGCTCCATTCGGAAAGGCTGTCCTCAGTCAGGCATGCTGGTACATACTTGGGGGAGGCCAAAGCAGGAGGATTGCTGTGAGTGAAAGGCCAGCTTGGGCTACATAGTGAGCTCAAGTCCAGCATGAACTACCTGCAAGATCCCATCCCAAACAAAACAAAACAAGGCTGTCCTTTCTAAGAATATGTCCCAAGTCATACAATGTTGAATTTTATTTTATTTATTTATTTATTTATTTATTTATTTATTTTTTCTGGTATTAGGAATCAAACTCAGGGCCTTGCACTTGGATTTTTTTTTGAAACAGTCTCTTTATATAGTTTTGGCTGGTCTTAAACTCACTGTGCTGCCCAGGCTTGCCTCAAACTCACGGTGATCCTCCTACCTCAGCCTCCTGAGTTCTGGGATGACAGGCGTACACCACCACACCTGGCTTGGATTTTTAAATCTTAAAATTCTGTTCCTCTTGCTTTGCCTGTGACATTTTACTTTTACTAATCAAGGTAAATCCAAATAATCCTTTCAAAATCTGATTTTTAAGAACACGGATGGGGGAGCCCAGCATGGTGGTAAGTGCCTGTAATCCCAGAAATCTGGCAGGCTGAGGTAGGAGGATCGGGAGCTCAGGTCCAGCCTGGGCAATTTAGCAACTAAGTGAGACCCTGTCTCAAAATAAAAAAAGGCAGGGACGCAGCTCAGTACATAGGTCCTGGGTTCAAACACGGTAATGAAAAGATAAACAAAAAGAAGCAGGAGCAGAAAACTTTTCAAGATGGGGATGGGGCTGAGGCTGAGGGGTTGCCGTGGCTGTCATCTTCCCCTTCCCTGCGCCCTTGACATTTTCCCTTGACCTGTGACTTATGACAAAATGAACCACAAAAGCCAGCCGCACAGCCTGGGTGTGGGACCTCACGCAGTGACCCGTCCCCGGTTGCCCCACTGGGCCTCACACTCACAGTTCTGGGTGTGGCCTGGTGCGTTGGGGAGGCCAGTGGTGGCTTGGCTGGGCTCTGGGAGGCCGGGCAGAAGCGCTGGCCGGTGTCTGGCGGCGAGGATGCATAGATGCGGTTCTCCAGGCGCTCCGGCTCCTGCTTGTAGGACTCGAGCGGAAACGTGTGCTGCTTGGTCACATGGGTAGGCGTGGACGGGGAAGAGGAGACGTTGGAGGCTGTGGGAAAATGGAGTCAGTTAGAGGTGCAGCTGGGTGGAGGCGGATGTAAGAGGCTCCTCCTCTCCTAGGAGGCCAAACCCTCCAGTGGCAACAGTCACATTCATTCATTCATTCATTCACTCATTCATTCAAGACAGGGTTACAGTTGAGGCGGGCCTTCAACTCAGTATATGTAGCTTAAGCTGGCCCCAAATTTAAAGTGAACCTCCTGCCTCAACCTCCCTAGTGTGCAAGTACAGCCATGCACCCCCCCCATTAACTTCTTTCCTTTTTCATTATTTAGAAAATATTTTATGTGGGGCCAGCGGGATAGCTCAGTAGGCTAAAGTGCCTGCTTAGATAAGCTTAGGCAAGTGCAGGCATGCGGTTTGATCCCTGGCACCACAAGCTGCTCCAGTCCCATCCCCGGGGAGGGCTGAGCTGGCCACAGAGTCTGGGCGTGGTGACGCACACCTGTAATGACAGCGCTGGGGAGACTGAAAACAGGAGGAGCACCATGAGTCCCAGCTGCGTAGTGAGACCCTGTAACAACCAAATACATTACAAATAAATAAAATATTTTATGAGTTTCTGCACCCAAACTCACTAGAGAAGACCTGACATATTTAAGACAGTGTGTTTGCCCCTATGTAAATGGGAAAAAACTGAGTTTAACATTTCTAGACCTGTAATACAGCTGTTAACTTATGCACAACGCCAACTCAATATGGTAATCGGATAACGGATAAGTTTTTCCAAAGCGACAACACAGTGAAAGTTGTCAGGAAAGTAAACGTTCTGTATGTACGTGCAGGTATATTTGCGTACGGTCACTGGCAGCAGTGTGCCATCCATCAACTGCAGCAGCAGCGTTTCCAGGCGTGTGGACATCTCGGTACAATGGCAGTGACATGCACGCAGCCCATCAGGAAGGAAGGAAAGCCCGGCCTTCAGCTCCTTAGCGTCGGGCTGAGGAGACAGCGCAGCAGCACAAGCGCCCGCCTGCCAGGTGCAGGGTCCCCAGAGTCCCTTAGCATCCACTATACCGTTCATATTTTATTTTAGCCTTTGGCATGTGGAAAGCCAGTTTTTCTGCTACCATTATTCTGTTCAGTGGGAAGGAAAAACTGGGAAGAGGAAAAGGACAAAAGAAAGAAAGGGAAAAAGATACACCTTTGTATCTATCCAGGATAGCTTGGATAATTGTACGGCTGATTTCTGCTCATCTATTGAAAGGAGCAGTTATTGCTTAAATTTTCTTTTCTTTTTTTTTTCTTCTAATTTTGTATATTTAGATCTTGTAGTCTAAACAACTAATTTGAAGATAATATTATATAATACATCAACCATTGTCAAATTCCTATTATTTTGTTTAGTGAAATTTTGTAGTTTCTAATGTTTTTTTCCCTTGATTTTTTTTTTTTTTTTTGGTACTGGGAGGAATCGAACTCAGGACCTTGCACTTTCCAGACAGGAGTGTTTTTTTCATTACCATTTTGTATTCTCTTAAAAAAAATTCTTTAGTACCAAGGAATTTTATAAACCTACTTCTACTCTCCTAGATTTGTGGTGCCAGAATTTCCTTTGAACCCCATTTGGGCCCTGGGGATCCCCTTGAGGGGATGCTCACAAGGTCCCTGTTGGTCCCCTCTCCTGCCACTCGGCCAGTCCCCTTGCTACCCTCCGCCCTCACCAGGCACGCTCCAAAGGCTGCCCAGGCCTAGCCATGCTGACTGAGGTTTCACACAGGAACCTTTGCAGTGTCCAACAAAGTCCTGAGTCCAAGTTGTGGGCAGATGTCACACGACAAAAAGAATCAGGTGGGTCAAGCTCTGAGCACCTAGGTATGTGCCAGGGGTAGACACGCTGACAACCCTGTCCCTGACATCTGTGACTGGGACCTCATTCAGAAATAAGATTTTGAAAGGGGCCGGAGGTTTGACCATCAGGCCTGCCGTGCTGGCCCCTCGCCCAGGGTGTACTGAGAAGGCAATTGAGACTGGGCGTGGTGGTGTGCGCCTGTAATCCCAGCTCTTGGGAGGCTGTAAACAGGCGCATCACTAGGAGTCCGATCTATTAGTGAGACCCTGAATACCCTGTAGACCCTTCTCTAAAATTAAAAGAAAAGAAAGAAAGAAAGAAAAAAAAAAGAAATAAGATTTTGAAGGGCCATCCAGATAGCTCAGCAGACTAAAGTGCCTGTTTAGGCAGGCGCAGGGACCAGGGTTCGATCCACTGTGTGCCATGCTGGCCCCGCCCCCAGGGTGCACTGAGACAGAGACTGAGACTTGGTGTGGTGGCACATGCCTGTAATCCCGAAGCTGTTACGGAGGATAGGAAAAGAACCTCCCTGGAACTAAAAATATGGCCCCTCTACGCGGTTCCCCAAAACGTCTCCAGGAGGGGTTCAGTTCTGCAGCTCTAGTGGCCGCTGCGTGCAGAGTGCTGTCACATACTCCAGCTCAGTGGGTACCCTGATGCCCGCTTGCAGATGGGCAGACTGTTGACAGCAGGAAGGAGGCTTAGAAGGCCCTGGGTGCCTGGAAGGGCAGGAGAGTGGCAAAGAGGGACAGAGGCAAGCTTGGACCCGGTGCTTGGGCGTCTTTGGCAGGCAGGAAAGGCTTCCTCCGTGCCAGCTGGGGGGCCAGAGCCACAGATCAGCAAGCAGGAGGCTTTCACTCCTGCTGGGGATGGGCGAGGCCTGGGGCAGGTGAGGGTGACATTCCTAAACTCACCCCCATTTTGAGTGTTGACGTTAAAGTTCCTAAACGTAGGGGCAGGGCTTGGGAGCTGGCTCGTGGCCGCATAAGTGCCTGCCTGGCAAGTTCAAGGTCTAGAGTTCAATCTCTGGTACTGCACGCCACGCTGGGCGTGCCACACCAGCACTGGAGCCGGGCGTGGCGGCGTGTGCCTGTAATCCCAGCACTGGAGAGGCTGAGACAGGAAGATCACTGAGTCTGAGCTGCATAGGGAGACCTGTATCAGAAAAAAAGTAGGGCCAAATGGTGGCCCTGCTGCCCCGGCCCCCACTCTTCCTCCTTCCTTGTGGGGAAACTGTCTTCCTCCCACTTGTTGCCACAGCCACATGTCTGCTGGCCTGCCTGGCCGAGGGCCACACTGAGCAGGTGTGGCAGGAGGAGCAGGCAAGGATAAGTGGGACAAGTCTCATCCTTCTGCCTGGAGGGAGAAAATGGACAAGAATAAAACCCACAGCCAAACCCACAGCCACACCCACAGCTTCACTCAACCATGGAAGCACCCAGTGCATGTGGACATAAGAAAGAGGAGCGCGGAGAAGTGTGGCAGGTCTGTGGCCAGGTGGGCCACAGCCGAGGGCCCACGGAAGGCCAAGAACCCTCTCTGCCCTGGAAAGTGATCCTGTGTGCTCCTGAGGCGGGCGGCTTCCTGAAGGCCTAGACAGGACGGGCTGGTGGCAGCAGCAGCCTTGGAGGAGGCCGTAGGACGCAGAGGTCCCCCCATGACGTCTCCTGAGATCCCTCCCTCCGTGTGGGGCTGCTGCCAGCCTGAGGGCGAACAATGGCTCTGATCCTCCAGGGCCACAGCCAAACCCAGCGAATAGCCCCAGTGAGTGTCAGGAGCTGCCCCTGGCAGCCACACAGACCCCACACCAGTGGCGCCAGACACCGGGGAGCCAGGAGCTGGTGACTCCACAGCCTGGCTGCGCATGCTGGTGGGAGCTGTGCCTGGAAGAGTGGGGAGAAAAGAGGGCAGGGGTGCCACTGGCCAGAAGCAAGCATCAGCCTACAGGACAGCCACGCAGGGCGGAAGTGACCCTAAACATTGGAGCCCCACGCTCAGGCGGGGCTTGCCCACCTGCCAGCTGCAAGCCTCAGAGCGGAGTCACCCCTCACCTTGGCAAGAGTACACCTGGCGACTGGGTGGCCCTGCATGCTGCAGTCCCTCTTCAGAGGGAAAAAAGAGCTGGAGCCACTGGGCCTTCGAGTGCACAGGGCTGCAATGACAAGGAGGATAGACCTCCGGGACGCATGGGGAAGAGTGGGTTGGCAGTTGATGCGGCTTAGGGTTGTTCATATGGGTGTTTACAACCACTCACCACAGAGAATCAGAGCAGTGCGCGAGGCTGGAATGAGGGGGGGTGTGGCAGCAGGACCAGCCCCTTGCATCTGCCAGCTCAGGACATTTCTCCAGGGCTACAGTCTCCGATGACTGCGATGGCTTTGTCATCATAGAATCCCAAGGGTGGGATACAGAACCCACAAAGTAGCCCCAAGTAATCAAGACATAGGCTCCTCCCCCCATGGGCTGGGTGGGTCCTGGGGACCGGAGCCTTTAAGGTCCTGAGGGTGGTTTGGGAGCCAGCGATTTCTCCCAACTCCCTCATTTTATGGGTAAGGAGCATCTTCAGTGATTGCTCATTCCTGAGTTCCTCAGGACTCAGCTCTCGCTGTGGCTCCCTTCTTCTCTCAGGACAGACAGAGCCTGCCTTCCTCTTCCTGACCTCCAAACTCCCCACAGATGGAGCCTTCCTGCAGCCAAGGGCAGCCACATGCAGAGAATCCCGGACTCCCACTTCCTCCCTGGGCCTGAGGTGCCACAGATGTCCTGTGCTCCCCTGTGGCTTCCCAGCGGCCTTGAGATTGTTATGGCTTAGATCTAGACGTCCGTCTAAGGCCTCAGGCCACTACAGGCAGGCCAGATCTCATGGGGCTTGCAGCTGACTCGCTGGCAGGCACAGGGGCCTGCTTGAAAAGGCCGTCTGTCTCTCTTCCAGGCTCCTCCCTCGACCTTCCCTGCTTCCTGTCTGCGTGAGCCAAGCAGCTCTTCCTCCACCAGGCCCCTCTGCCTTGCTGTCCTCCCTTGGAATTGGCTGGATGTGGACTGAACCCACAACGAACCGTGAGCCAAAGTAAACCCTTTTTCCTTTAACGTGCGGGTGTCACGTATTTTGTCCTGATGAGGAGGGTGAGTCAGGCTGGGACTCTGCTCAGAATGCTGCAATGCCACCCATTTCCCGGGGGCCAAGCATCCTCCCTGCC